GTGTTGGTGTTGGTGTTGGTGTTTGTGATAGTGTTGGTGTTTGTGGTAGTGTTGGTGTTTGTGGTGGTGTTGGTGTTTGTGGTAGTGTTGGTGGTGGTGGTGGTGGTAGTGGTAGTGTTATTTTTGGTGGTGTTGGTGTGGCTGATTATAAAGATGTTGGTGGTAGTTTTGATTTTCATGTTGTTGTGGGGATACAATTCTACTTCTAAGAGAAAACCGAAAATATATAAAGTAAACACCTTCAGGGCATCAAAAGACTTTATGGAAAACAGACCTTCTTAATTGTAGAGCATGCAAGTATGCAAACCGTGTTGTAAGAAAGGCTGAGCTAAAGGTGCGGGCCGCCTGAATGTTAGTGTCTTTTTTGCAGAAATCCAACCATGTATATATGGAGTGATTAAATTTATCCTGTGAAATAGATATTAGTCCATTAGACATTGATATAACCAGATTTTTGTTTTCTCATTTTATTTCTTGCTTTCGTTTATTATTTTTATTCGACTATTAGTCATGGACTGTTAGGTTTTGTTGCACGGGTTAAATGAAATCACTCTTGGTTGAAAAACAGATAACTTTATAATATATTGATTTGTAAAGACATGATATGAATATGTCAAGTCGTCTTTCTTTTCTTTCTCGTCTTTTTTTCTTTTTCTGTCTTACAGTCTTTCTTTTTTCCTTCCTTCCATCCTTCCTTCCATCCATCCTTCCTTCCTTCCATCCTTCCTCCCTTCCATCCTACCATCTTTCCTACCGTACTTCCTTTCTTCCCTCCTTTCTTTCTTCCTTCCTTCCATCCATTCTTTCTCTTTACAACTTCATTCCCATACCAGTTGTATTGAAGGCTCACTATAATTGAAAAAATGTCTTGGTACTTCAAAACATGCGCATTTGTAAATATGGGATTTTAATTTCGTAATTTATTTTGTAATAATTTTGTACATTTTTAACAAGAATAGAGAAAGATGCGTTATTTTTGATGGATCGTTATTTCGCTGTCCTCCATGAGGACCCAATATATGTATATCATCATACGGTATTGCACAAAGTGATAGAATGGATTATAAAAATCGTAGTCTACTAGCTAGATTGTAGATTGTAAATTATATATTTTGTTTTATGATAGCAATATCAATAAATATTTGATATGAAAGCTTATTATTACGAGTCGTACTTCTTATCAGATGGAATGATATATGGCATCTGTGTAGGTTACGTGGTCTATCTTGGGTGCAAACTACACCCATAAGACAGAGAAACAAGATTCATTTCAGGGCTAGCTCAGGTGCAAACCATACCACAGGACAAAGAAACAAGGTGCATTGTGCAAGGACTAGCTTAGGTGCAAACCACACCACATAAGACAGAGAAACAAAGGGGCATTGTGGTCTAGCTTAGATGCAAACCACACCACATAAGACAGAAACAAGGTGCATTGTGGTCTAGCTTGGGTACAAACCGCACCACATAGGACAGAGAAACAAGATGCATTGTGGACTAGCTTGGGTGCAAACAACATGCAACCCTTACACTGGCCTGCGCCATGATATCCCAACTGTAGTACTACTCAGTACACTATGCGTAAGAACTAACCAGTTACAAAATAATGCTTCCAAATTCTCAGTATTTTACTGCAAAAGGATATAGCAGAATGCTTTGATGGAGACTTTATCGTTATCAGCACCAATATCTCCCGCAGCTTCGTTCCCACAGGAGTTTGTATCATCTTCGTTTCTGCCACTGCCTCCAGTCCCAAAACCAATCCTCGAGTCAGGGGTAGTAGCATCACGTTCATTGTTACCAACAACACCAATTCGAGCGCGGCTGTTTATCCAAATTCTGTCAGATTGGGATGCTTTGGCGTTGAATCCTTTGCGTGTGTAATATGTTTGAAGTGATGAACCAGGTACTAGGTTTTTCCACTGGTCCCGAGGAGTGCTTACAGGATGAAAGGTATTTGTTGATATGACGTCATGTAAGGACAGTGCCGAATATCTAGAATGAAAACAAGAACACCTTTTAAAATGCTGAGTGAAAGGAGCTAGTTAGTCAAACCAATTGACCTAAACTAAAATTCCAATTCAGTGCTTTGAAAACTTACGGTACTTTGAGCCATCTTATGATTTGATCGCTACCAGTGCGCATGCCCAGGCATAACTTAGTAATCGACATGGACCAATAGAATGGTATCTTGGTTTCCATGGCATCGAAGCCTGTTTTTCCCGCCGCTGGATTGTAAGACAGTTTGTTTTCCCAGTATGAAGAGTTGTAATGAAATGTTGTCTGCAGGAAATGCAAATAAAGATGTAACGCTGCTTAATTTGTCAGAACAAAGGCTGGGGTTCAGTAAATTAGTTTAACAATAGTCCCCATCAAAGTTCTCTGCGCCATCTTGAAAGGTGGCCGTGCCTTTGCGGCGAAGCGAGACAAACAGTGAGCTTGCAATGATAGACCTTTTAATTTTTAAACGCCTTGGACAACTATTCACATGTCTATCATTGCAAACTCACCGTTCGTCTGGCTTTGATGCAAAGGCACGGCTACCTTTCAAGATGACGTAGGAAACAAATTAAGTCCTGTTGCATGCAACATTCGTTGCGCATCACGTTTAAAAAATAGATCTAAATTGCAAAAGAGGTAGGCACGTACATTGCGGTGCAACTGCATGGCCTGTTACGTGAAACATTGCATACAGTGTCGTGCCTCATTCTGCGGAATAAACTTATTCATGATGTAACGATTGACTGGGGGAAAAAAACTAGATTTACCTTTTTACCATCAATTTTCATGGCTAGTGACCAGCCTCCTCCACCACAGCTGTCAATTACCCCCATGAAGCAGTAGGCCTGGTAAGGAATGCTTGCATATCCGCTGATATTTTTGAAATAATAGAGACCCGAGGGAGAGGACCTGACAAGTAAAAATTAATCGCACTACTTTTTTTAATTACCAAAACAAAAACTAATGACGGAATAAGAAATGGGTCGTCTTCGTATCGTAATAGGACGTTTGCACGATATGGTGTCATTTGACTCCCACTGCCATAATGATTTGCGAACTTTCTTTCTTATTCAATTTTATATTTCGTTATGAGAATAGTAAGACAGTTGGTGCTAATTAACTGAACAAAAGAAAGTGTGCAAGGGAGTCTGGTAGTAGAGGTCAATGACACCATCATGCAAACGTACTATTTTGGTCTTTGTTTTGCAGCAGGTTAACTTACGGTTCTTCGTCGTAGATTTGTTTACATGATAAGGAAGGATGGTCCTCGTGGTATCCGATTATCTCTGCAACGGAAGCACGACAACATTTTAAGGAATACCTAATTTTTCTTGCTCTAAAAGTAAGGTTTCGAGGACTATTCACAAGAGTTCCCTAGAAAATATAACTTGATGAGCGGTTTATAATTTATTAGTAGCTCTCTTGTCTCACTCTTCTTCTCTTTCCATGTTTTCATACCCTCCCTGACTCCCTCGTGCCCCCTCCCCCCTCCCCCCTCCCCCGAAAAAACACGCTACGCAAGCTATGCATTGTGCATCCCCAAGGTTACAATGAGTCAGTAAACTTGAGAATACCTTGTTCGCAGAGAGAGCCTCTGTATCCTGATAAACAACTACATTTGCTGGTTTGCATGTTTGATTCGTACTCTAGATAACAGGCTCCATTGTTGAGGCACGGATTTGAAGCACACTTCACCCTCTAGAAATATGACAGCAATATAACAGCAATGTAACTATCAATAAGGCCCCGTAATTTGTCTCGCCCCCAGTAAACTATCAGCAAAAATCCCCCTCCCCCTACATACACACTTTCTCACCCAGTATCCAACCCCCACAGCTAGCTTTTATAAAAGACAATTCGTCTCTGAGTATAAAGACGATTTCAGATCGATCTGCAGTTTCCGTTCGCCCATAACTAACCTGAATTTCCATATAGAAGCATCCTTGGCACACTATGTAATCCAAGCTGTCCACGTCCTCTCTTCTTCTCTCGTTCAACTCACACGATTCTTCGTTGGAATAAAAGTTGGCGCTCAAACAGCCCTGTTGTCGCATACAAAGCAATGCGCATTTGAATTGGTCCACTGATTGGATAGTTTTGAGCACGTGATTGATGAGTGCGCGGTCAGGTGACACAGCGAAAGATGCCGCGTGATTTGTGCCTTGAACGTCCTGCGAGTCACTGCATGTTGTCAAGTGAATCAGGAATAGTAGAGACGCTGGTATCGTCAACATATTAACCCTTCAGAGAACAAAAATTGATTAGAAATAAATAAAATGCGTCATATGGACCATTTTCGTATTTCTGGATACCACTGTGTTTTTTTATTAGAGTGCAAACAATTAATCCGTGAAACACTAATTACTAAATAGTACAAAATAGTGCTAATTAAACAATAGAAAACAATGGAGTTTGCATGAAATTGTGCTATTTGGTATTACTAAAGTTTCACGGTTGTATTGTTTGTACTCTATATTACAGACTAGGCATTTACTCAGAGAGTTAGACTCATTTCAGAATCAGAATATTCCAGGGCTGTCAACTCTCCCGGATAAACCGGGAGTCTCCAGATTTTGGACCGTGTCTCCCGGTCTCCAGATTAGAGTATCAAATCTCCCGGATAA